AAAACCCAAACATTTCTTATTGTCTCGGGGTAAACGTCCATGTATCCGTGAGACTTTGCATATGCATTGATCAATCCAATATATAAACTTTTTACCTTCTACTTACAGTTAATTCAGAGGACTTAACGCAGTTAAAAAACAATTCTACGTTAATAAATCCATTCACTGACGTAACTTGCGCAAGCATCCTTTCGGAAAGTAATTAGATAATTCTTAGCGAACAGTAACATATGAACACTTTCAATGTAAAACCTTTTTAATCATTGTAGTTCTTAAAAGGCATATGTCACAAATGATATTGTAGATTAAAGTAAACGAAGAATTCATGTGTATTTTTATGGAATAATTTATCAGTATAATCATTTGATTTGCTATTCAGTTTTGTTAGTATTCTCTTACAACTGTCAAAATTGTTTCACATAAAGGGATCAGGTATCTCTTTTATGAATGTAGTATCATAAATGTTTAATGTTAATCGTAGTCAAACAACTACTCAACGTAATAACTACATGAACGTTCAAGTGCGTGCTTTTGTAGCTTACACCGACGTGAAATATAAAAAAGGTTAACGTAAATATCTTTGCTGAATAAGAATACTTACATTTTCGTCTGTGATTGTTTGTGAAACCAGCTGATAAACAAAAATATACAGTAAATAATCATTTGAAGATGAATGTTTAACTAACACAGATATTCCATAATACTTTAAAAATCTAAATTTGTATATTAATCGTTTGCCATCCGCTCTTATTTACTTTATCCCTTGAGTCATACGAGAAGGCCTGGGATGCAACATCTATCGCTTGTGTATAATTTCCTTTTCCCGACAGGTTGAACTTTAAAATCTTGGATAAGGAACATTTAACGAAGACTGTTCATTGTTATATTGACTTCGAATTTTTTTGTAGAACTTGTAGCAGCTACTTATACCCGATTCACTTTAAGTCTTATGTAACGTGTAAGTGACATTTAGTACAGGCATTAATATGTATGCCAAATTATCTTTCATGGACTTACAAAGATCATCAAAACTGATTTCCAATAATTTTGTAGTCCCTACTTGTCACTGAATCTGGATTCTTGCGATACAGTTTCAGGAGTGTATAATTCTTTTTGTGTTCTCAATAAAAATACCCAAGAAAAAAACTTGGAGTTTCAACTGTTCCTGTCTGTCACGATGGTGAATGGGCGTTTAATAAAAGCGTTCATTTT